AGGTATGAATAGAACAAATGCAAAAGATATGTCTTGTTTGAATTATCATTACGACTTCACTGCAGCATTAAAATACTGCTAGCTAAGTCTACATGCTAATGTCTTTATCATCGGTGCATTTTTGGGAACTAGTAATTTTAGTATGCCATTATTTTGATCAAATTCCAGGCTACTGATGATCAAGCAGCTTTGCTAACCGAAACTGTGGCTAAAGTACTGGTGTCACAAATGGACCGAGCTTTTCGAAGTATAGTATTGGACTTGCTACTTCGTTTGTTTGCTGAACTGGAGGAACCCGATTTTGTCTCTATGTGCCAATGTTTGATCAAACTTGAAAAACCAGATGATGTTGCCGATATCCTGCAACGATTGGTTTCTAATAAGGTGTCTGTAAAATCAGTTTATTTGATGAACTCTTTACTGCCAACTCGCTATTGGAATCGTGATCTGCCTTAGGCGAGATTGTATTTTGAGAATGAATCTAGATCTGGTATATCATATGCCTGTTTACTGAAGTAGCTTAATAATAGGGTATTAGCGGTAAATATAGAAACATGGAGACACATTATTAATTTTCTTGGATTTACTTTGTAGGATGTGAATTGATAGATGTTGTTTAATCCTTCTTTACTTGCAGTTCTTTGGTTAACTATAGACGAGACACCAATTTGTTATGCAGCGATATCAATTTATTAATAATTTTGTTTCAGATTGCATTTTAACATCTTATTTTATGAAATCTTCCCTTCAGGGTGACAGTGGTGTACTATTGGCATATCAGATTGCTTTTGATTTGTATGAAAATGCTTCACAGCAATTTATCAGTAAAATAGAACAGTCCCTCATAGATAATGCTCCAATAGATACACCAACAACGAGCGGTGCCATACAGCCCATGGAAATTACTATTGAAGGAAAAAAGTTGGTTTCCTGGAACATTTTTTTGACGGAATGAGCATAGTTGGACAAAGTTTTCGTTATGAGTACGGGTCAAAGTTTGCTTTTTCATTTAAATTCTTCACTGATATTTTTTATAAACAGCGAGACCAACAGAAACACTTCCATAATTGCTTCACAAGCACGATCCACCGGAACTACGATTGCTAATGAGGAAGCGGAAGAAGGGAAGAACGATGAACACTCGAAGAACACGTCCTCAACTGAATCATTCGAAGAAAAAGAGTATTTTTCTTTTTGTACTTCAAATTTAAGAGGCTTTGAAAAATACAAATTTGGATTTTTGGAGAGACAATTTTGAGCAAATCTTGAGGCAGATAAAGAAATGATGTTATTTGATTATCAGTTAGTTGATGGGAATTGATCGCAGTAAAGTTTAAAGTTAAATTTATCTTCAGAAGAAAATTTTAGAAAGCAGAAGAACAGTCCTGAAAGAACTAAATCTGAAGATACCGTTGTTGGTAGGGTATCGGAAACTTCTAGTTCTTCTGGCACAGCAGATGGTGCGACAAAAATGATGGTGATGGAAGCTTCATTTCCTGAAAGGTCGAAAATAAAGGTATCAATTTTGCGAATGCATTAGACTTAGATTGAATACTTTGGAAGAGCAAATAAAAGTGTACACGTGTCATTTTCACAGTCGAAATTATTACTTTACAAAATAATTTTTATTACTCATAAATCTTTCTTTACAAGTCTTCGTCTATCTTTTGGATTCTTCCTAGAACTATTGCACATTTTCAATTATGTTTAAAATTTCTTATTATTACAGTGTGTCCTTTAATTTATTTGAATTTATTCAAGGATAAGGTGGTCTGCGAACGTTTGCGTTCAATTTTGTGTGGAGAGCAAACTATAAAACACCATATGCAATTTCTTATTAAAAACAATCACACCGATATGTTGATTCTGAAACAAATAAAAGAAAGCGTGCGAACAGCATCAGCACATAATGCTACTGTCATTGCAAATGGCTTGATGCATCTAGGAACAACAACTGATGATTTTTTAAGGTGTGGTTTATTTTACAACTTTTTTTTTCAAAGTACCTTTAAAATTGTTTTCCTTCATTATATTGTTGTACTAAATGATGTAATCATCAGTAGTTTCTTAACTAATAGTAGACTAAAAGATTTATCGTGTCGCTGCTATATGAAAGATAAATATGTATATGTATATGTACAATTTAAAATTGGATCTGCATTCCTATGTTAAAAATGCAAGGAAAGTTGCAACTGTCGTTTTGTTTTTTAACACTATAAGTACGCTGTATTTATAGAGATAACTTGGAATGGATAAGCAAAGCAACGAACTGGAATAAATTCAATGCCGTGGCATCACTTGGACTTATTCATAAGGTCATTTTTTTTAGTGTTTTAAAAGATTTCTTGGTTTTTCTGTTTTATATTATGTTGTATCGTTATTTTTCAAGGGTCATGAAGCGAATGCGTTGAAATTATTAGATCCATATTTGCCAAAGGGCGAAGCTGATCAATTTGGATTTAAAGAAGGTGGCTCGTTATATGCCTACGGTATTCCTTCATATTATAGCAATAAATTTTTTTCATTTTATTAAGAAACGGTAACATAAATGTTAGCTGCAAATCTAAAAATAGGACTGTTTCCTTGTTTCTTTTAGAAAAATGCTTTAGTGTGTGAAAATAATCTTTATTCGGTCAAAATATTGATTTCAGGACTGATTCATGCGAATCACGGCAGTACTGAAGTGATTGCCTATCTTCGGGATCAGTTACTGAAAGCGACAACATCAGCAGCACGTCACGGTGCATGTCTCGGCCTTGGTTTGGCTGCAATGGGAACTCATGATGAACAAGCTAGTTTACTGACTCATTATTATATGTGCACGCTTTGTAATCTTTTTGCTCTTCTAAAATTTATCATTTTTATTTGATGTTTGCAAGATTGTGTGGAAAATCTCCACTTTTAAAAATCTTTACTCCTTTATTGATCCTGAACTTCACACTGTTTATTATTTTGTTAGTAACGTTTAGGTGTTCGTACAATTACGTGATTGTTTATACCAAGATGATGCAGTGACGGGTGAAGCCGCTGGCCTAGCAATGGGTCTCGTAATGGTTGGGGGAATGCAAACCGAAGCATATCAAGAAATGGTGCAATATGTGTGCGACACACAGCATGATAAGATTCAGCGTGGTCTGCGTGCAGGCATCGCCTTACTTGCTTATGGTGAGTTCCGCAGTCTAGTTTATCTAATAACTTGAATCTAAAAATACATTTTATGTTTTTATTACATTTTTTACTTTTATTATGTCAAAAACTTCAGTTGTCGTTTAATGGAGAATAATAAAGCCCTGATGCTTTCTTATTTTACTTGGTACACATTTTGCGCTTACAGTGACAGGTAAGATATTCAGTATAACAGCCTTATAAGAAATGCCATTCAGTTTGTTACGTGTCTTAACTAGTCGTTGTATTTTCAGGGCGACACGAAGAAGCAGAAAAACTAATTGCCCCTTTGTTAGAACACAAGTCAAATGCAGTATTGCGTTCAACTGCAGTTTGCATGCTTGCAATGGCATATGCGGGATCAGGAAAAGCAGATGTGGTTCGACGCCTGTTGGCCAAAGTTGCCGCCGATCCAAATCAAGATGTGAAACGTTTCGCTGTCATCGCAATCGGTTTCGTTCTTAGCAAGTTAGTTTATTTTTAATAAAGTGACTTTAAGTATTATGAAAATATGGATGTTGTAGTAGAACAGAAAAATTGAAATAAAGGAAAAAAAATTCTAAGAATACTCTCGTACTCTTGAATACTCTTGTAAACATTTGAGTTATAATTTTTGTAAAAATTCGCTTAAATTTACGCATTCCTTAGATTTAGAAATTCTTTTTCGAAACTTCGGTACCCCTTTCCTTACACATTCAAACTTCTACCAGTTCATTTTATTGAATCATTATGCTGCGATATTAGAGGGGCTTGTGTTGTAATTTCGAGTAACTGGTCATCAACTTCGCTTTTGTATTTGTCTTTAGAGCGTTAATGAATGGAGGCACCATGCTTGTATTGATTCTGGTCTGATCATCTCTTGGCCAGTATGAGAATTTTTTTTGCTTTCATTAAGAACACTAGGTTCAAAGGAAGGAAAGAGGCGGAGAATGGCTTGAAAAATGTCTTAAATTTGATTTTATACTTCCTGAAAATCATGAAATTTATAAGTTCATCAGTTTTTTGTTTTTTGATATCATTCGCGATTTGAATGATATAGTCAATTAGTCACGATTGATGTCTTTCTTCAGACTCCCAGGTGTTGGATTTATCTTGACCTTAATTCTAGTTTATTCAATATCAGCGCACAAAGCAAAATTTGAACTTCACTACAACGGCTCTCTTCAAAATAGGCACAAGATAATGATAGGAAATTGTGTCATGTAAAGCCCACCAGCCTTTAACAAAATAGAACAAATCACAAGAACAGTTGGAAGAAATTTTTAGATAAATTATTATCCAACAATTCCATTCCTTTGGCGTTTTGTTATAGCAGTTGAAGAATTACAATATCAAATATTAAAAACAAATTTCCCAATAACTTTGTTAGAAGAATTGGTTGGTATCATCCCTCCAGGATCTGAAATGCATATTTACAGAGATTTGCAATAAGTTAATTATAGATCGTGCAACTGTGAATATCAAATTGTAACTGAGTGACAAAACCACCGAAAATTGCTAATTGTGGGGAAGGGAAACCCAAATTTCTCCTTGTTTTCGATTTATATAATATTTATGAATAATAAAAAGGGTTTTGCTTGTAAACTAGTTTATGTTTTTTTCCTCGTAATGCAAACAGGTACTTGTTTGAAAGATTTTCCTTTGAAGACTTCGGGAATATAATTAGGATCGTTCGGGCAAATCCTGCCAAATATTTGGCAACTTGTTCCTACGTCATTGGAGAACTGGCAAAACTAATTCGCAGTTTTCAGATTTTTCTTAAAAATTGCTAATGTTCTCTACAAAATGTCCTTTTTTTTGGAATTCTACTAATCGAAACAAGGTTAGCCGTCTTTGGAACTTTTCTCGATTTCAAGTAAGGATCCCAAAATTCGTGGAAATATGGTAATAGTTCATTTAAATCTTCGTAGTTTGTGTGTTAAATCTTACTTCACCATGACTGTGATTTGAAAAGCTCTACATTCGTGTTCTATTTCGGTTACTTCCTGTCTTCTGAAGTAGCTGTCATGCTAGGATTTGATGCTTTCTAAAGTTTGCATGAGGGGTGCATCACTCTGAGCTTGTTTTATGGTTGATGACTCACTATAGTTTGTGCATTTTTCTGAAGTCGGTCAGTTCCTTTGCTTATTACCGATGGTAAGCTGTCTGGATGTACTGACTGGACACAGTATTTTTGTATTCCTATCGTAAAGATTTTGGCTTATCTAGATTTTTGTACAGCTTAGGGTTCTGCAGCGGTCTTGTTCCCCTTCCAAATCGAATCGTTCAGTTTTAACTCTGAAACTTATGGATGTCACTTTACTTTTTTTGTTTCAGCAATAATTTTTAGTTGTAAAAGACAGAACAGCAAAATTTTTTTTCCTTCTCTCATATATCACAATAGCGCCTAGGCTGTAATACTTTTCAGTGAGAATATAATTAACGCTTTGTTGGATTGATTTTCTGAGTCAAAAGGTTGCTCACATTTTGGACTTTTTTCTTAATGAATGATAATGTTTTGAGTTTCTTTTTTGGGCTGCTGTCCTAAGTATTTTTCTCCTAGAATATCCTCGAATTCGAAATACTTCCAATAGAGAACTTTGCCGTAGGAATTAGCTATTATTCTCAGAATGCCAAAATACTTTCCCTGAACCTATTGCGACGTTTATTTATAGGGTTGAAAAGTTTAAATCACTGCGACATGCGAAGAAGCCAAGCTTTACTGGAAGAAACTGTAATTCTATAATCTATAGATCATTTCTTTCCTAAGAATGAAATCAGTTAGCATCCTTGAGTAAGGCAGTGAATTTCTGAAACTATTCCACTTTTTGAAAAGTTAGAAAATCTTCAGAGCAGCATCACATTTATTTGTAAGATGAATAAGATCAGCCAAATGACTGATTAATTGAATTAATTAATAAATCTCCGATGAATGAAGTAATGATTCATTGTTTACTTGGTGGATCTCAGTTGACGATACAAATATGAAAAGCTTATGAGAAGCACCACTAGCATAACTAAAGTTCGCGAAATCAAGCACAGGATTTTTCGATAAATATTCAAATCCATGGTAGGTTACAAGAATATTATTTTATGATATGAATATTATATCATAGTTCTAAGTAGGCATCATAACATACTCGGTATTAGTCTTTTCTCCGATAACAGATTTGATCGATCTCCTTGCCTTATTATAATTATGATTTTTTATTTCTCTACAAGCGAAAAGGAAGGCTTCATGTGTAGAGATATGTGTTTGTTGAACACTTCAGATATTATCTAGAGGTCTTTTCAATACATTTATTGTAATTATTTTAGTAAATACTAGAGAAGCAACTCCAAATGGAATTAAGAAGTGTTTATACGGAATAGAGAGGGGAACATGGACGATCAAATTATTTAAGTAGGGAATCAGCAGTAAAGATAACTATTATTCGATAAATGAATGTGAGAAAAGGAAATGTGAATGATTTTGATGCATTGCTTTGAATTTCTGCACAGCTTGACCAGAATCTATTCTTATCCAAAAGCTCACAAGCTAGATACTGCTGTAAAGAGTGATTAGTGGCTTCCAACCGCTGATTCGCAAGGACGGTGGCGCTATGAGTAGGAAAGAAGCGAGGACTTTTCTTACTAGTTTATCAAACTAATACGTTAAAACTTTTGATTAAACTTTATTTTCAAATCAGTAGAATTTATCACTTCTGAACCTTGTGGTGAACACTGCTACAAATATAAAAGCCAAAGTAATCTCTGGTCAAGAAAAGGTTGGGAACCACTACACCAGATACAAACACATTGCATAAATTTTTGAATTCGATTAAAAAATTCGATTTCTTGAAAAAGAATTTGATTGACATTCTGCTGCTGTTTTCATTTTTGTTGTTTCTAATCGTTTTTTCAAATATCTAGAAAAAATTAACAAATTATTTAAGCGATGCAGAACAGTGTCTTAGCTATACGGGCATGTTAGCGGAACATTTCAACCCGCATGTACGATATGGTGCTGCTATGGCACTAGGTATTTCTTGTGCTGGATCTGGTTATAAGGTATATTTTTGAATCAGAATTAATGTGTGTCATCATTTAAGCAATATTTATATTTGTGATAGTGGTAGAAGAGAACAGTAGTATTTAAATGCTATTTCGGAGCACGTTTTTAAACTATTATGGAAGAGCGGCAAAAAAAGTTAAATTTTTTTTTGCATGGTTTGGTAAGATATCAAATCATTTATGCTTATTAGATGATCATTGTAATAGGATATTCATTCGTAAACGAAAATCTTATTTGTTTGAATTTTTATTGACGGAAAAATTCACTAAAATTTTCAATAGAAACAACAAAATAAAATGAGGGGAGAATGAAGATCCGACTATTCAATGGAATTTGGTGGAATTTATGAAATAGAAGCTGGTTCAGTAGAATTTATGAAATAGAAACTTGCATTCTCTGAATTTTTAAAAAGTTGAAAAATCGTTAAGATATTCTTACATCCGTTGATGACCATTAATTGGGCTTTTAAAAAGACATATTTTGTTTTTTTGATTTCGTCTTTTCCAAACTATTTAATCAAAGAAAAAAGAATACCGTGAATTAATTAATCGATTCAATATTTAAATATGGAATCTCAAGGAAGACATATTTTCGTTGCTGTAGAAGCAAATAAAGAAAATAACTGCGTTTGTACAGATACTGATCTTTAAATGAGGTTGATACATTGTGAGGACCAAAGAAGTTAAGGATAAAAAAGAAAAATGACAAAAACGGCTATCATTGGTTTTCGTATTTCTCACCTCGTTTGTCAGATGATTTGATGATGGTTTTTCAGTGTCTTCTTGAGCCCTAAGAGATATTCCCCATCATCGTCTTCAAAGGTTATTAACAGAGAAAACAGATGAATGGAAAAAACAGACGCGAATAAATAAATGAAAAAATAAAAACAAAAATGAACCAGTGGTTATGGTAATCAAATTGCGTGAATTAAACGTTCTTCTTCAAAACCTAAAACACTCTCTGAACTAATTCAAAGAAAGCTATTCGCAGATATCAGCATAAGATAGCAATTTTTTTGAGTTTTTATAAATATTCTGAAAGTTGAAAGAAAGCGGTCGCAATAGACTATACGCTTTAAATACGTTTTTTTAAATTGTGAATTTCATTTCTGCACCGTGGCATTTTCTTGAGCAATTAGCAAATTTAGCTATTAGAAAAAGTCCACTTCTGTTTACACATCATTGACTTGATGCTACTAAAATGTTTCAAACGTATTTCGCCTTCTGGTCTTACTTTTTTGCCAGAATTGTAGGAAGCCATTGCGTTGCTTGATCCACTGTTGAACTCCAAAGAAAACTTTGTTCGACAAGGTGCTGTTATTGCTTTATCGTTCATCCTGATTCAGCAGACGGATTCAATTTGTCCGAAAGTAAATGAATTTCGAAGAACACTGACGAAGGTAATGATCTTATTTTAGAGGATCAATTTCTTAGTAAAATTTGGTAGGGTTTCTTTGCGCTTTCCATGGATCAAATTCGTAACTGTAACCAGGTTGAGTAATACTATCAGTGACTATCAGTGGAGAGGATGCGGGACACATGGTATCAAATGATAGCATAACTTTAACTTTACCAGTTAAGCGTCCTTTTCATTGTTACTATCATTATTGTTGTTTTTACTGCTTTTATTGTTTTCATTCATATCTTGTTGCTTCCAATTACTACTTCAGTTTAGATGATAACTGAGAAAGGTGAAGATTCAATAACGAAACTAGGTGCAATCCTTGCTCAAGGTATTATCGATGCTGGCGGCCGTAACGTTACAATATCACTTCATAATCGCAACGGCCATCCTGACATGCCAAGCGTTGTTGGGACTTTTGTTTTTCTTCAGTACTGGTATTGGCATTCTTTGGCACATTTTTCGTCACTAGTATTCAAACCAACCTGTGTGATTGGTCTTAATCTAAATCTTGAAGTTAGTTCAGTTTTAATGTATTTATAATTTATGTTGTACTCTAGCGTCGTTAAAAGTCGTAGTAATATCCATGAGGAAACCCTCATCACCTATAGAGAATTTGAACTGGATAAAGTCGAAAATTAATCTGTTCTGTAGTAGCACTGTTACAATAGGTAAATTAGAAAAGGAAAGTAGATTTAATTTTTTTCTTCCATTCTTTAAAGAACTTAGATTCGGGAAATTTGCTAGCATACTCATTTTCAGTCGGTTTTTTCAAAACCTTATCACCAGAAAAAGTCGTCTTTTGCTAGCGTAGAAGTTTTATATTAATGACTGTCTTATCTCATTCAGATGCCAAAAACTGAATTTCGTTGCAATGCGAAGCCTTCAACCTTTGCTTATCCACCTCCCTTGGAGGAAAAGAAAAAAGAAGAGAATGAAAAGGTTAATAGTTATTATATATGGAATAAAAGAAATACACATATCTAAGGCCTCATTCAGTAGATGGCAGAAGATTTTTCTAAAAACACTGGAAAAAGTCGTCTTCTGCCAGTGTGGAAGTTTCATGTAAATATTTTTTTTGTAAGCACTGCAAACAAAAATCTGTATTGATTTCAGATTCTTCTTCAAATTGAGGTTGTAATAAATTCTCATTTATAAGAATGAATCAATTTTCCACAGGTGGAAACGGCTGTTCTTTCCGTAACTCACAAGAAGAAACCTTCAGTTCTTGATCGTTCAAGTGCTACTGCAGTCAAAGAAGAGGCCAAAGTTAGGGAAGAGAAAACAGAAAAAGACAAGGAGGAGGAAATGGAGGTTGACATTGCACCAGCTACAGCGGCTGTAGCTGATTCTGCTGCTGCTGTGTTTACAGGAACTGCTACAAATTCGGAACATAAGTTAGCCGAACCAAAGAGGTATTTTTATGGTATGCAGACTCAAGAAACATTCAGGAAACCGTTAACAATTTTGACAACACAAAATCATTTTTTTGCGGATTTATTGCACAAAAGGAATTTTGTTTTCTTCTTCTAAGCACTTGTTTTTCTATCTATCCTGTTAACTCGAGATATTAAGCAAGGTAATGAGAGATCCAGAGGTTGTCGGATTGTCTCTGTGATTTCCCTTTTTCAGTTTTGTGATTGTTGTAAGTGTAACCAGTAATATTGGGTATTAATAACATTTATGATCACAGATTTCGCTTTACCAGAGTTATTTTCAGTAGAGAATCGGAAGCTACGAACTATACTCTGCAAAATCCAGCTCGTATTGTTCGCTTACAATTGAAAACCTTACAAATGACTGAAAATAATCGCTACAAACCATTGAAAGCACTTTCCCAGGGTGGAATAATTATGCTTCGTGATAGGAAAGCTGGACAAGAAAAGGTTTCTAGTTGATCTAAATATTTTGTGGTTGAAAATAATTGCATTTTATATTGTTATTTGCTTATGAGACGTACATATGCAAATATAAGTTTATTAGAAATGTAGCATCCACTGGAACATTTCTTCTAGTAATGTCAAGAGTCGAATATAATTATACTTGGGGCTTGTGTAGAAATTCATTAAGTTTATCTACTGTTAGCTGAAACACAGTGGTGTGCCATTTTGTCTCATAAAATATGTCATATTTGTATATTTGTTGACTACATTAACGCTGCCCAATCGCTGTCCCTTCTATGCGTTAACTATTGAATCTGGTCAAGCATTTAAAGTTTTGAGTTGAGGAATCAGTCCGTCGCGCATTTGCCAGGGACTAAGTAATGTTTTCATTGCTAAGTAATGGCGAGATGTCCCTCTATTTATTTAAATATTATTTGAATGATATAAACTTTAAAAAATATTGGGGCATTACCGAAATCCAAGCTGATGTTATATATCCTCTCTTAGGTTTGGCTTTAAATATTTCTTTATGAAAGGATGATGTTTGAAATAACTGGGAAAATCATAATTATCTTTTTAACTGGGATAATTTTCAGGAAGAAATTGTAGCGTTAGCTGCAGCTGGAGGAACGCGCGTAGAAGGCAAAGATAGTTCAGAAGAGGCGAAACCACATACTCCTTTTGAAATCAACATCACCTCATACTGACTCATTTGTTATAGTTTTTCAGTTTTTGTTCATACCAATGCATCTATGAGAGAACATGCCGATCATGGGTTACAGTGGTTGTTTGGATAATTTATTCAAGCAGTTTTTATATACTCTTTTCCGAGTGCATCTAAGGGATTACTTTAGCATATTTCATGTGGCTCGAAATCATTTCCCCTCCCCGTAACCTCTCGTTAATCTTTTCACCTGACACAATTATTTATGTTTTCTAGCAATTATCGATTTTATTTGTTCTGATGATAAAGGTTTGCACATAGTTCACTTTGCTAGGAAGCCTAAATATTAACTTGTTCTTCATTCATGCAGTATTACCGAATAGATTTATTTCGGATATATAAGTAGAAGGAGTTAATTTGAAGGGGTGGGATTTTATTTTTCATAGCGATGGGTCATTTACGATGGATTGAAACATTGAACAATCCATCTGGCGGTACTCGTTTTGCAATATGAAGGATTTCTGATGTGCACAAAAGCTCGTCTTGGTATGATGGACACAGATGAGCAATGAGTTGTTGAGGTTCCTAGGGTATGACGAATGAAAAGTGATTACTAGTAGTAATTTTTTAAAGGTGGTTTTCTTTACCATGAGGTGCTTTCCAAACTCTCGATTGTCGCACACCAGCTTACTCTTTCTCTCATTCTTTATTAGTTTTCAGTAATTCCTTTTATATGTCTGATGCGACAGTTGGCTTAAAAGCAAGCAGAGAACGATGCTACCAGTCACGGGACGAATACTTTAAATGTTACGAGGAGTATAAAGATTACGGTGAATTCAAGTGTAGAAAACTGAAGGAGAAATTCGAGAAGGACTGTCCTGCAGCATGGGTATGTGAACTTGAAAATTTTCTATGGACATAACTGAGGATGGGGTAAGGACGGTGTGTTAGCCAGCGAATCAGGTTCTATATCCTTAGTATGTAAACTTGGTATATGATCCACTTAACTGCAATTATAACTGCTTAGTTCTTTGTTTTCTTCCATTTAGATTCATTTTATTTCGAACACTCTATTTTTATGTTCTTTTAGTTCAACTAAGAAGTCAAATCGACGAAATGGTTATAATTTAGATTCTTATGGCAGTTTTTTCGATATTTTTAGTCTCAGTATGTTGTAAAGCGGAGTTACATGACTTAACTCCTTTCTACATCCTCAAACTTGGACACAGTTTTATGGCTCTAACATTTATAACTTAGAGAAGATATGAATGCAAATTACCGAGAAGCAGCCATTGCAAAGGAGACTCAAGTATAAATATCACCTCGCTGCACAAGGAAGAAATTTACAAAATATTCAAAGTTATCTTCGTCTTCTCATACCCCAAAGTTCAGAAATGTTTGAGAATATTCCACTGTTTTCTTCAGGTCCCACATTTCATTCGTAAGCATAACTACGGAAAGTACAAACAAAAGTTAGTGGACGAAGGGATTTTACTTACAGAAGTGAATAATGCTGATAAGGTGCAAAATTCTTCCTCATCTTCTTAGAGTGGTGAGTTGAAACTCTTCTAAATTCTTAGTGGATATGTAAAAGTTTTAGGAATTGGCTTTTGGCTTCTCATACTGGAAATGTAACTTAAGAATCGTAGTTTCCTCGATTTTTAAGGATCTGTGATCCGAGGTTATTCAAAATTTTTTACTTGTCTCGACTGAGCACTCCAAAGATTTTGCTGGTGACGAAATAATAAGTGCGTTAAGTATGCCTAGTAATGTCGAGATAATTTTCTGTTTTTCACCACAAATTTCTGGAATTTTTTAACATGCGTGGTAATAAATGAAAATACTTTGTTAATTAAATTGTGGCAATTATTAGTAATCAGAGTAACTCTAATATATTGATAAGGATGGTATCGGATCCTGGATCACTGATGCGGTAGTAATTATTACAGGCGAATATTGGTGGAAACCGTTTGTTTCATGTGACGGGTAATATACTGACTAGTTCTACTGTATCTACTGTATTCGGTGGTACCGACGTTCATTCAAAACAGAATTCATCAACAAAAGTTTATTTTCTTTTTATCCCAATTTTTAAAAATTTTCCGATGAAAAATTTTAAAAATGTCGAGTAAAATTTCCCATTATTTTTTGGAAGCTTAAACAACATATAGCGAAATACATAAAAAGAATTGTACCGTTTAATTTGCAAGACCTCATTTCACTTTTGGGTAACTGTGATGCATATTTCTCAACAATGGGAAATTTTTTTTTTAATTTTATTTACATCGATGGAGAGGATGTTCAGTTGGGTGGTTACCATAGAAGAAATCAAACTCTTGCATTTAAAAAGTATATAGCATGTAATACCGTTGAATGAATGCGATTTACGCATACTGTAATGTTATAGTAGTCTTTATCAAATTGCAGTTGTAAATCAATACCGAATTCCTATTTTTTTTCCTACAAAAGAAAAAAAAAACAAAGCAAAACAAAACAAAATAAAGAATATTTTTGTTTTCGCTACAGTTCCCGAGGACAAATGCTGAAAAATTAGCTTATTGCGGTTGTGTAAATGATGTGCTGCATGACGTTAGCGTTGAGCAGTTTTGTGAACGTATGAAAATGTTTGGTTGTATGAAATATTTAAATGCATTGCGGATCCTGAAAGATATTCACTACCTAAAGACAGGTCGTTTACTTTTGAGGCAGTAAGTTTCTTCGTCCTCGCGACTTTTTGTTTTGCTTCATTTGTGATATTGTATCTTGTAAAAATAAGGAGTTTCGCAACTTTTAACTACTTCTGAATCTTAGTTTCCCCCAAATTTATTATTTTTTGTCCTCATTTCCATTGAAAGAAGATAACTGATTCATTAATAAGGTTCTGCGCTATGAACTGTTTATTTGTTGTAGCTGTTGGAAACTTATCTTTTAGATGGATTGTAAGGATGGATTCTTAACACCGCATAACTGTACATCCTGATTGCTGATCTTGTCAAAAATTACTGATTCTTATCTAAAAGTTTCTATCACAGTACACTTCTATACGCTGACTCCTGCAGTTAAATTTTGACATTGTCCCAAAGTAAATTTTGATGAACTTCCAGCTTATGCTCCTCTTCATCCTCACTACCACCATACATAGTGCTTGAAATGATCGAGATGCTCGTTTGCATTCACATGGAAGGTGCCACTGAGAGAGGCGATGAAGAACTTTGGCGAGAATTGTTACGCCTAACGGATAAAGTGCCATATTTCTTGAAACCTACTGTTTTGCTGCTCATGAAATCATGTTGTCCCGTGAATATTATGCCGAAATTGCCATCGAACCTGATGTTACGTCCTGTAGTTATCACTGCTTTGTTAGGTAATATCTGTTGTCGTTAGTTTTTTCCCAGTACTAGTAATTCTAAGTTTTTTTTACAAACCATTCTATACTTATTCCTTTCTGACTGATTGATATGCCAATTTTTACAGCCAATTATATCCGTTTTGGGAAAATAAGCCTCTTCCAAACATTGCTTGCAAAAGAGACTGATTATGATTTGTTTAAAAACGACCAATTACTGCGAGTTCTCGCTTTGCACACTAATTCTCATCCAGCTGTATCATCTACTTATTTGGAATGTCTCTCACGGCGCAGTATTACCTTATTAGGTGACAATATGTCACATTTCAATTCCATCATCCGGTAAGTACTATCCAAGCAGTATTCCGTAGGGTGACCGTATGCATGAATGCTATTACTAAGGTTTGGTTGAGAATTAGAAAGCTTCAGGTGCTTAAATTCTTTTTATATCTTAAAACCATGTTGTGAGCCTCATAATATTGGACAATTTTTATTTCAACATGGGAGTGCATTTACTGCAAAAAATGAGATACTGCATAGGTTAATACGAGAGTAGTAGCATTAATGCGATATCGGCTTCTTACTTGGAAGAACGAATATAACAGGTTCATACAGTAATACTGTAATTTAAAATTGTATTGTATGTAATTTAAACTAACCAGACTGTTTGATAAAAATAATCTTTTTCAGTAATGATTAGCAGTTCACTAATTGTGATCAAATTGCCCTTCGAGACTGATGTATTGTACTCTGATATATAGTATCATCGTATTGTCGTTTGTATTACTATTTTCGATGTTTTACAGCTGGTTTACTTCGGAATATAAATCTGTTTTTTTGATAATGTATTAGGTTCTCGTTTTCATTCTCTTTTTCAGCCAATCAAAATATTGGGATATTAGGAATGCAACTATATCGGATAATGGGGATTGTTATGTTTGTGGAGGAAAATTTGAAAAAATAAGGATTTATCAGAAATGGAATTTAGCTTGCTTAGAAGTGAAATAATGTAAGTGCCTTAAGATATTATTTCAGAAAGATTTTTAGCCGTTTCGTTTTAAAATCAAAATTTCCTAACCTGAATGCGTGTATTATTGTCATATGGTCACACAGAGTATGTTAGAACTGGGCAGTTTAATTTGATATCATTTCAGAGTTTTTCTCGTTAATGACACCAATGAGTAGTAATGTTAAACCAGATATTTTTCTGTAGAAAGAACTTTGGAATTATATTGAAATAAATTTGTTGCAGGAAATATTTGTCTGATGATATGCAGTTGTTCTCCAGTGCCACGGATCAAGAGATTTCCGATTTGAGGAAGCATATAAAACGAAAAGTAAAGCCTCTTGAAGTTCGTTATTTCACGTTTCAAATTATTATTGAGAATTCTGTCGTGGAACTCTCAAATGTTTTTTTTCCAGATTTCTGGTCATTTGTATTGTTTGTTTTACAAGACCTACTTGAAGTTCATTATCTCATTTCAAATTATTATTGTGAATTCTGTCATGGAACGCTCAAATGTTTTTTTCTTTCCCAGTTTCTGGTCATTTGTATGGCTTGTTCCCCTTATCGTTAAGAAATTTGTATTATTTGCTTTCTCACGCTTGTTGTTCTTTGAAAAGGCGTGAGAATACAAATATTGCTGAAAAAAATAATTGAGGATTCGAATTAAAAGTTGGTTGTGTAAGATCGCTGGACTGTACGGATCATATAAGGAAGAGTTGCTAACCAGCTAACTGTATGACCTTTAAAGATCAAGATGAAATTTCTAGCCGCTTTTTTTCAGGAAACAAATTTTTCAGGATCAGCAGTCACTGGTCGTTGATGCTCTCAATATTTTATATACAGGTATTAATAATGTGAGTTCAAAATATGGGATTGACGAAGTGTTGCAGAAGTCGTTGAATATATTTGCTAATGTACTACTTATTGTGCGAAAAGGTGGTGACACGAATCGTGTGTGGAATAAACATGATAAGTTCTGTAACTCTCGCTTGTCAGCATTCTTCTGTCACAGAATGTATGTCTTTTTTTAAAAAGAGGAAATTCAGCGAGATAGTCTTGTTCTGTCCTTGTTAATAAGATTTCCTCGTTGGTTAGTCTCACAACTATATATTGCAGTGACTGTCTCTCCACGGATGAAATTCCGCATCTAAAAATCACACTAGCCATATTTCCTAGGTATAGTTCTGATATTCTTTTATTCTTATCCACTGATTTGGAGTAATTGATGATTAGGTAGCAATAGGGATTTTCCTCTTTGAAACTCATGTTAGTAGCTTTAAGAAACTCTTATCACGAGACTTTTTCTCAGGAGTAACGATGATTTGTTTATACTGTTAGCAGTCATGGAACTTGGAAGAAATGCTTACTTTTTGACAAACGACTCCTTTATGAATCATCGCAATATGTTAACTCTGTCGGGTCAGTCGTTATTTGACAGGTGGGTAGAGCAAAGAGCTGTGCGCTTGGATAATGGTGATGTAATTGTAAGTTTACAATTATTCGAACAAGTTTTTCTTTCCAAAACGCTTAGGTAAGATGGTATTGTCTTTGGCACTGAATGTTTATACCTTATCTCTTATTAAATAGACTCAGCTGATAGGGATTTTGCTGTGAGATGAGGAAGGAAGTACGTAACACAAAAAGGAATTTTCATTTTCATTTCTCTAATTTTGAAGCTGAATTGAATTTATTTTAGATGCCTTCGAAATTTGCTTCATACGCACATGAGACAGAGAATGGTTACCACATTCCTGTTAAAACAGTTAGCAAATCGGTTGCCTTGTATTCGTTTCTTTGCGGACGAAGAAAACATATCTAATAGCGCATTGAATTATTTGTTCAACCCATCATGATTTATTAGCAATCGTGATCATATATATATATATATATATATATGTAGTAACATGGAGAGAGTTTCATTGTTAGTTACGTCATGTGACATGTCACCAATACGTTCATACTTTTCCAATAATTTAGAACTTTGTGAAGTGAGTTCCAGGGATCGAAAAAGATTGCCCTTTATTGTTTATGACTTACATGTTTTATTATCACGATATGACCTCATTTAGCAAAACATTGATAGCTCCTTATTTTAAATATGGATAAAGTTCATTTACTACATCCTTCTACATCATTCTGTATTCAAGTGCTATCTTGTCCCCCAATATCGTATAATTTAGACGAACGACAACTGATTCGCAAGCGTCCTTCATTTAAAATATTAACAAAAGAAAAATTGGAATTGACCATTTATCTCGTAATCCTAACATCTTACGGGTTAAAATATTATGACTTAAACTGGAATTTGTGATGACTTTTGTTCGTCATTTTTGCTGTTCGTAATTTCAATGCTAGTTTTCACATGAATCTCTTCCTAAGCAAAAATTTATAGAATTTCCTAGGCGTAAATTAAGTTTCACGAGCCCCATACTTTTATATTTGGGTGACAGATTTTTTTTTCAGAAATGTTATAAAGAATTAAGAAAATTTGCGAGGATACAAAATAGTAGGGTAAGAAAATACAATGGATGTTATCATGGCTGCTCAACAGTACATATCGGAGATGATTAGGTTGGCTGGTCCGGGCATGAAAGTGATGATGATGGATAAATGCACGGTAATTGTGTATAGTTTTGATCATAAACCCATTAAATCGGTTTGAAAATAATGTGGAATAAAGGAAACCACACGTAGCCTACGTGTGGTTTCCTAAAACTCCTGTAAGGTGCTATTTGCGAGTGACCATGCTCAGTGACTGGCTTACTGCTATTTTTTTATACGATGGTAATTTTACCGGAAATTCCAAAGGAAAATTAAATGATGGAAAAGGTGTAAAATAAAGGAGTGGTAGTTTACTTGTTGGGGACTTTGTTGGCGATAAAATATTGGCATGTCATATGAGGACAAGTGGTATCTAGACATAACATCGAGAAAGCTGTAGTATGAGATAGGAAAACGAAGAAGTAGGGACACTAAAGTATGAAGAATGCAAATTAAATGCAAATGAACTGCATGAATTACCTGTTGAGAGTAAACTCGTAACAGTATTTTTTTAATGGATTTATAATTCGAAATAGTGGTATTCAGACCAGCACTGTATCGTGCGTTTATGCACAAAGCGATATGATGCAGAAAGAAGTGTATTTATTCGAACGCATCGATTCCGTTGCTTTAAGGTTTGCCAGTCTTAGTTATGCCATTTTTCTCTTGCTTTAAACTTTTCATAATTCATAGTTTAAATTCTTGACCGAAAATTTCAGAGAGCCAATCAAGCACCTCAAATGTATAACATTTTTACGGCCTACGGTGGAAAATATTCATTTGTTAGCCGAGGAATTGCGATTTCCGAAGTATGGCCAGTATTATATATGTAAGTTCACTCTTAGTAGAATTCTCCCCTCCGTGGGTCGAGCGATCGGGTAATTCTTATGGCAGGTTAAGTAGCTTCTTTTATGAATCAGCAAGACCTTTTTTTTTAGACTCGAAAGATTTTAAGAAATTCTTTTGATCATGTTGATTAAGCTTTCATTCCAGATTTTTGTAACATTATCAGCAAAACTGACGTCAAAGCACTGGCTGAGGCGGATGACCAGGAAACGGTATGATACTTATAAATTTTATGCATCTTACGTTTAGAACAACTTCTGTGACACACTCTAAATTTTCTGATTTATTTTTTTTAACATTTTTATCGATAATCTTAATTGCAACAATAAAACTGGAAAGATACAGTCTTCCATATGAATAAGTAACTTTTCCATAATTTCGCAAATTTTTTGCCTTTCTTATTTCTTATGTAGCACCAATACTTACAGTTCTCTGAATTCTATAAAGTTTGGTGTTTTTAGGTCCGTGAAATGCACGAATTTTTCATGGATGGTGTTCCCTTGTGTCCTCATCTTCTGTCATTGAATATTTTTCATAGTTATAACTCATCCTTCTCTGTTTTGACTCCAGTTTTTACGCGATCTTTAAATTCAATCATTGCCACTCTACTTGCGTTAAAGAAGAAACCCCAAATACGGTACAACTCATTTTTTTCTGTTTTTTATTCCAGAATATTCTACTATATACAATGAATAAGTAGAAACACGAGTTATGTTGTATAACAATTACAAATGGAAGAAGGAATATGAATTAAGGCCAACTTGGATGTCTTTTGCAAAAAAAATGTGTTTACAAAGCGGAAGATAAAACATTGCAAATGATTGCAATATTTATTTTCATATATTTTGGTTTCATTAAATTCTGATTCCATAGATATCAAAAGTCAAACAAGGATAGCAAAATGTTAGCTGAAGAAGTTGCCAAGGCTATCGCTCGCGAAGAAAATTTATTTGAGAATGCCAAAACTGATACAGTTCTGTTAATAATCGACCGAAGTGAAGACCCAGTAACTCCTCTGCTCAACCAGTGGACCTATGAAGCTATGGTACTTAAACGTACTTGATTTTTGCTTTGTTTTTCGTTTTATCTATGTTCGAAGGTTTTTACAGCATTCACAGTATTACTTATGTGCTGAATGGAGGCATTTTGCGTTATCTAGCGTTATACAATGTTTTAGGTCCATGAACTTCTGGGTATCAACAACCATCGCGTTAATATAAATACGGCTTCGAATACTGGTGCTTTAATACTTTCGCCTCTTCATGATCCATTTTATTCGAAGGTATGAAAGTTCGTAGAACAGGTTAAACTTTGTACTCCAAGACCTTTTGCTCATTATCCGCATTTTAAAACAAAATCAACAATTTTTCATAACCATAAAATTGATTTGATCGGCTCAGTAATTCTTTAAACCATATGTACAACTGTATTAGTGATTACACAGGTTTAAATCAAGTTCCATTTAGCAGCGCAGAAATATGTGTTATTTTAGAAATTGAAGTGATGACATTTTCCTTGGTTTATATCTACAATTGTTTGTTTTTTCAGAACATGTATGCTAATTTTGGTGAAATTGGTCAAAATATCAAAGAGCTGATAACAGAATTTCAACGAAAATCGCAAACCAATCAAAAGCTTGAATCAATTGCCGATATGAAAAGCTTCGTTGAACAGTACCCGCAGTTTAAGAAAATTTCCGGTAAATAAGATATGGTTAATAGCATAACAGACTGTTGGTTTTCTTTTTCTCTATATTTTTCTTTTTTCATTTTTCGGAGACAGCCTAGACACGAATACATCTCTTATTTATACTGATGTAGAACGCCGAGATGTAGTATTCTTTACTCAAGAACTTAGGCATTGAAATTCGTCGTGAACTGCATGCAATGCCATAACAAACGGTGCGGTTTATTTCCTAAAGTACTTTTTTGTATACAATGCAGCAGATAGAGTGTTCAGCAGAAAAGTCATCCTCAAAAAAATGAGAGATATACAATTCAAATAAGTTTGATTGCGGATTCACGTTGAAGGACTAAAAATATGCTTTTATGTTGAAAAATATTGAAATAACTTGATTTTCAGGTACAGTTACCAAACATTTGACGGTACTTGGTGAGTTATCAAAGTCAGTGGCTACTCGGAATTTGCTTGAAATTTCTGAAGTAGAACAACAAATTGCAAGCGGTGGTGAGCATTCACATTGTTTGGCTACTATTCGACGTCTTGTGCAGCATGAACAAACAACGGATCTCGTAATCTTTTCCTCTGCAAGAAAATTGGCTTTATTTTATTTTTTGGATTTCTCAGTGTAGTTTTACATTTATTTATTTTAAAATAATTCTGGAAAATTTCAAAAAGTTCAAAAATTTCCAGTTAATTGCTACTTACTTTCAAATGTAATCATAAACCAGCGCTTCTTTGAAAACTTTCGAGTTCAAAGGTAATGTTATGCATAGAACGGGTTTATTTATTATTTTCTCTCTCTCTATACATTATATATATATATATATATATAGGA